CTCCTTTAATTTTCTTCTCAAGCAAGCAAGACTCACATCATCATCCTCACAATCATCTACAACAGGTTTAGTGCAACTAGTATTATGTACCATTTTTCTTTGTTTTCTTTTATGTTTGTTTGGTACGTTGGTATTTTCAGGTTTAGATGTTGAATCTGTTACTGGAAATGTCATGAAATCATTAGGACCAATTGCAGGACGCTCTGATTCCCTATCTACAAAGTTACTTATACAAGCGGATTTCCGAATCCTCCGAGCTTCTTGAAACAAGGGCACTTTATCCGGATGCAAAACCTTCCACCTCCTCCAACACTGGTTATCTGTTCGTGAAGTCATGCATGCAGCAATCTTCGACCAGCAATATCCATGTTCTTCAATTGCTGCTTCTAACTTCAAATCCTCTTCTTCATTCCATTCACCACGACTCAAAGAAGGATCTAAAGAATTGACCCATCTCTCTCTACACTGCACTTGGGTTCGTCCAGGAACAAATTCAGCAATTTTTTTCCAGTTTTTTGGTCCAAAAAGCATTACTGATATTTTCAAGCGTTTATCTTCATCTGCAGACCATCTTCCCACTCTTTTTCTAGATGGATGAAGTGATTTTTTCCATCTATTAGAGCATTGAGTACCAGTGCGGCCTGTCAAAGCTGAAGCTACAGACTGCCAATCCCGTTCACCAAATGCTTCAACAGCCGAACGAAGCTTCTCATCTTCCTCCTCAGTCCATTCCCTATTCAGTATGCAAGCATTCAAACTCCTCTGATAACGAGATAGACATTGAAATGGTGTTCTGTTGGTTCCCAATGAAACTGCAATATCATGCCAGTTAGCAATCCCCTTTTCTTGGATTATAAACAAAAGATTCTTGTCTTCCTCAGCTGTCCATGAACTAGAATTGTTCAATGGGTCTTCATGATTCAACCACCTCGCTTCACACTCAACACCTGAACGGCCACGAGTATACATCAAAGCTAATTGATCCCAATTAACTTGTGCAACAAACTCCCTAATCCGCTCTGGGGTAATTTCAATGTCTTTGATTGATGCAATAATATTGTCCAAATTATTCCCATCTCTCCATGAATCTACAGAACCGTGAAGCACCTTTTCTTGAAATTGTTGTTTAATCCCTTTTATAAGATTTTCCCTTTCTTCCTTACTCCATTTTTTCCGTTCCAGTGAAAGTGGGAGCTTTGTTAAAGCCATTCTATAATCAGGAACTTGAGGGTTCTCTGGAGGACCGTAACAATGTTTCCCCGAGGCGTTGGACTTGGGAGTGGAGATGAATTGTATACGGGGATCCTTCCCCAGAGATAATGCCCGGGTCGTTCTTTTCTTGCAAGAAATGTCTAAGTTCTTGAGAATTTTAATGCGTTCCCTCAATTTTTTATTTTTCTCAATTTTTGCTTCAATCTGAGTTGATTTACTACGAAGAAGCTTCTGGAATGATCGATTACTTTTAATTGCATCAATGAACATCTGTGCAGATTTTGGGAAGGTAGAATTCTCTGACTTGTCGCTTGATATCCCAGATTCGGAAGCAGTATAAGCCGAAAGCCGCCTCTGGATAGCACGAAGAGTCTCGAAATCATCTTCAGCGTCGTCCTCGTTATGATCAGAAGTACTTGACGGTAAAAAAGGATCGCAAACATCCTCCGATATCGCAAGACGACTCCTTATGCTCCGAAGCAGCTCCAAATCCTCATAATCACTCTCAGAATCCAAAGCTAACGGGTTGGCTGATGCAGTGGTGGCGGATACGGACACAGGAACCGGAGGAGGATTGCAATCGGCAGCGTCGTTTTGGATATCGTCAGGGTTAGTACCAGTTTTGAGACAGGCTTGCTTGAGGGCTTGAAGGTCGTTTTGGAATTCTTCATCATCATCGTGGTTGTCGCAGGTGGAGAACTCCTTATCGTCGACCTCTAAAGAGAAATAGAGACTGTCCATGGTGATTTGCAATTGAAGTTGCAATGATTGTGGTTTATAAATTAGATTAGATTCAAGACTGCTCAAATTTGGTTTCTTGATTTGATTTCCAATTTAGCTTCCTATGAATCCTTTTCGCAGTAGGATTTGAATTTCTCTGTTCAACCAACCAGAATATTTAAATAAAAATTACTAAAATGCAGGGAACAATAATAAATGGGATGAAAATTTGGATCTAAAATTTAAAACTAATAAAGTAGAACAAATTATATCATTTAAAATATTAAATTTTTTTATGTATTTTTTAATAATTGATTTTTTTTTCAAAAAACACATAATATTATATATATCAATTGATTTAATATTATAATTTTTTTTTGAACATTTTTGTTATGCAACCAGCTCGAATCATTGCGGAGAAGAGATATGAACTTTACAAACGTGATTAGAGCCATTTAACTCGAAGGGTCAGGTTCTAATATCATAATATATACTATATCATTTCTAATTTTCATCATTAATTTTAGTTCTTTCTAATATTACTTAAATGCATCCCATCCGTTCAAGTTTGAATTGTCCAACAAAAAACCTCCAGCTTTCAACAGTGGCTCACCGTAGGGAGGTGGGAATTCTCTTTTCAAAAACTTTACTTCCTGCATCCTGCTTTTTTGTGATTTACGTTTCTTTGGCTTTGGGAATTGAATGTCTTTGAACAGGATCATTTAGATGATAAACATCGCAGTTGTTCAATCAGACACAGGAAACCCGGTTGACTTTTATGATGCTAAGTAGGAAAAGGTAAAGTTTGCTGCTTTGATTGCTTCTTCTTCTCATAAAATTTAATAAGCTTGGAGATCTTCAAAAAATGTATATCTTTTGAATTTGATGATGCTAAGAAGTAGGAAGAGGTAAAGTTTGCTGCTTTGATTGCTTCTGGTGAAATTTAATAGGCTTGAAGTACTTCAAAAGTTTATATATTGTCTTGCATAAATTTGCCGTATTGAACTCAGAGATAAGCTTAATAGGGTTGGTTTGGCTGGTTTCCCAAACTAAACTTGAAAAAAAGATTGTTTCTTAATTCTCCATTAAGATTGTCTGTTGATTGTCTTTCTTCACACTGTTGTTGGCTTTTGGTGCTATTTCAAGCTTCCCTGATATTGCCATTATTTGTTTTCTTGTTTCTGTTTTTTGGGTGTGGTGTGATGGTGTGGATTAACTCACAGAGTGCCTTAGGCATCAGTTTTGGTTCTTTTGCTGCTAGTTGGATCTCAGTGACCATTTTGTGTTTCACATAAGTTTTGTAAGGCTTATCTTCAAGTTAAATGCAGATTTCATGTTGTATGTATATGCCGTTGATCAGAATATGTAGAATAGAACACATGAGAAAAATGACAGACAGAATATGACACCTGTGTGTAATAAGAGGTTTAGGATTCTAGTATTATTGGGTTCAAGTTCCGCCGTAGTTATGGAACTATTCCTTGTTGCAGACACTGACTACACAACCAGAGAATCTCCCTGTAGAACTTGGTTACATCAGAGAGGATTTTAATTTGTAACAGTAGGTTCTGTAATTTCTAAAAGAATAGAAGCTAGAAGGAGCTAGAGTGGACCCAAATGAAGAAAAAACTCATTGTTAAATAGAAATTCATTTAATATTCTTTCTTAACTAGTATGGAATTTAATAAGAAGCTTTATTTGTAGAAATTCTCAGGCTGCATTAGATTATTTGGCACTTGAGTGATGATGATGGAGTTTGCCTAATATTATTTAACACTTTCCCTGAATCATTCTGGGGTTACTCTTGAGGCAAAAGAAAAACTTATTGTGAAATCAATTAAGGTTGTAGTAGCTCTTAGAAAAATTACCTGAAATTACAATAATGTTGCTTTCAGTTGAAAAGGACTGATGACAGCTTCATTTCTTTCTGAAAAGGAATTTTGCAACCATCCATCTTCTCCTTTTCTTTATCCAAGGAGTTCTGCAATGACAACAAAGAATGCTCTACGGAGGCCGAGTTTTTGTCCATTCTTTTTTCAGCCACTCATCACAGCAAGATAAAGTTCTGTTAGATCACTCTTAAAATCAAAGAATTTTCTAACTACTAATTTATTTTGCCCATTGGAATTACTAATTACGCCCCAGCTTTAGTACCAGTTCTAGGTTATTGGAACTAAAGATTTCCAGGTTGGCTACCGGTCTAGGCTTGAAACTGGAAGTACCTGTGCTTGCTCTTTGTGTAATTATCTTCTTCCTCTTCGTTGTCTTGGCTACAGTGGCCCAACATAAAGCCCTTATCTCTAAAACCCTTAATTATTTTGAAATTCTCTTGTTCAGGAAGCAGGAAGAGAATCTCTGAAATCTGAACTCCCATGCAAGGAGGCAATTTTGTTGATTTTTAACTAATAAGTCACCGCAAAATCTTCATGCATGTGCAGGTACAGTTATAAAAAGCCCTGTCTTTTCATTTTCTGGTTAGGTTTTCTTTTTTTCTTTTGATGGCTATGTTGGGTGTTTTTTTATGTGTTTATAATTTGCAGCAGTTTATGTTAATGTAAACTCATATTCCATTAAATTGCACAACATTGATTCAAGTTCTGGGTTTAATTTTGTTCCCTTTTTTATTTTTTATTTTTTATTTTTTTTATGATTTTGGTTTAAGTTTTAACAATCTACACTTCTATGTGAATACTTGCCTTGAGAGATCAGTTGAACAGAACATGATTATGGGCACCCTATGAGAATTCATGTTGAGTTCATTTTAAGGTTTTATTGTGTCTTCAATCTCTTTTGTAATTTCTGCTTTGCCTTATACATTTTACATTTCATTTATCAGATCCCTGCCAACCTGCAAGGGTAGGATTGTGTCCAAAATTTGCCCTCCCTTCAAGTATGTTCTCCATTATTTTCAGCAGCTGCAGCTGCTCTAGAAATTTCTTCAAATGGATTTGAAGACAAGAAAAAAGAGATTGATTTCGATCTTCTATTTGAACGCTTCACCCAACTGCACCAAGCTAAGTGCCTTGATGTCCTTCTGTTGGTCTCGGCAAAAGTTCAAGACATCTTTATCTCTGCTAAGCTTGTCAATTGTTATGCCTACCTTGGTGATGTCTCAGTCTCCCATCCAACTTTTAATCAGATACCAAACAAGGATGTCTTTACCTGGAATTCAATGGCATCTGCTTATGTCCGCAGTGGTCATTTCTGGGAAGCTCTAAATTGTTTCAATTGGTTTTTGTTTACTTCTGGTCTTCAACCTGATTTCTACACTTTTCCTCCCGTGTTGAAAGCCTGCCGAAATGTATTTGATTGGATGAGGGTACATTGCTTGGTTCTAAAGCTGGGTTTTGAATGGCATGTCTTTGTTGCTGCTACCTTGATCCATATGTACACTTGGTTTGGATTAGTAGGTTTAGCCCGGAAATTATTCAATGATATGCCAGCGCGAGATATGGCTTCTTGGAATGCAATGATCTCAGGGTGTTGTCAAAATGGGAATGCTGCAGAAGCTTTAGATGTTTTGTATGAAATGTGATTGGAAGGGGTTAAGATGGATCCTATTACTGTTGCTAGTATTCTTTGTGTTTGTGCACAATCAGATGATAGTTTAAATGGGATGCTGATTCATTTGTATGCCATAAAGCATGGCTTGGAGCTTGATCTTTATATCTCTAATGCATTGATTAACATGTATGCCAAATATGGTAACTTGGGACATGCAGAAAGGGTTTTTAATGACATGGTGAATGGGGATGTTGTGTCATGGAACTCCATAATAGCTGCAGGTGAGCAGAACAATGATCCAATTACAGCACTAGGGTTATTCAATAAGATACGACCAACAGGAATTCATCCTGGTTTGCTGACATTGGTGAGTTTATCTTCTGTTGTTTCCCAGTTAAATGATTCTCAAAATAGCAAGGCTGTCCATGGATTTATAATAAGGAGAGATTGGATTTCACAAGATGTTATTTTAGGAAATGCAATTATGGACATGTCTGCTAAGTTAGGGGTTACAGATTATGCACGGGCAGTTTTTGATGGTCTACCTCTTAAAGATGCAATTTCTTATAACATAATGATCACTGGCTATGCTCAGAATGGGCTTGCAAGTGAAGCAATTGAGGTATACCAGATCATGCAGTCCAACAACATAATACCAAATCAGGGGACTTGGGTCAGCATTTTACCGGCTTATTCTCATCTAGGACCCTTGCAACACGGAATGAAAGTTCATGGTTGGATGTTTAAAAACTCTCTGTACTTGGTTGTCTTTGTAGGAACCTGCCTTGTTGACATCTATGGAAAATGTGGGAGATTAGATGATGCAATATCCTTATTCTATGAAGTCCCTAGAAAGAGTTCAGTCCCTTGGAATGCCATAATATCCTGTCTTGGGATTCATGGTCATGGTAAGAAAGCTCTGAAATTGTTTGGAGAGATGCTAGATGAGGGGGTGAAACCTGACCACTTTACCTTCGTATCTCCATTGTCAGCTTGTAGTCATTCAGGTTTGGTTGATGAGGGTCAATGGTGTTTTCATGTGGTGCACGAAGGTATGGGATCAAGCCTAGTTTGAAGCACTATGGCTGCATGGTTGATTTGTTTGGTCAAGCTGGGCATTTAGAAATGGCGTACAATTTTAGATAAGGTATGCCAGTTGAATCAGATGCTTCTGTTTGGGGTTCTCTTCTTGCTGCTTGCAGGATACATGGTAATGTTGACTTGGGCACCTTTGCTTCCGATCGCTTGTTTGAAGTTGACTCAGAGAATGTTGGGTACTATGTTCTGTTATCAAATATTTATGCAAATGTTGGAAAATGGGAGGGAGGGGATAAGGTAAGGTCACTGGCAAGAGACGGGATAGAAGAAGACCCCTATAGCGGGAACCAAACCCATCCAAAATGTGAGGAGATATACTCAGAGTTAAGGAGTTTGACTGAAAATGAAAAGCCTTGGTTACGTTCCAGACTACAACTTTGTGTTACAGGATGTTGAGGAGGATGAGAAGGAGCATTTCCTAATGAGTCATGGTGAAACATTGACAATTGCATTTGTAATTATTAGCACTTCTCCTAAAAGTCCTATTCGAATATTCAAGAACCTTTGAGTTTGTGGTGATTGCCACAATGCAACCAAACTAATATCAAAGATTACTGAAAGGGAGATTATTGTGAGGGATTCCAACCGTTTTCATCACTTCAAGGACGGTGTTGGCTCTTGTGGGGATTATTGGTGACACTGATGCATGAAAGTACTCTTCTAGTCTCCTTAACCTCTACTGGGATTCTCTCTTGGTGTTTTTTGGGGCAGTGGTCTCAGAACAAGGTACCCATCATTCTACTTTTGATGTTATTTTCTGCTTTGGTTTATATGTTTGATCGAGTGAATCAATCTGAAAATGAGTCTTGGGTTGTAATATATCATCTTCTTAGTCCTCCCAAGTAGCATTGCAATTTTAATCTACGGTTTTATATGGATTTTTTTTTTTTTTGGATAACATAAATATTCAAACCTTTGGCTTGAACGAACCATTAGAATATTTGGCCAAAAAAAAAGAAAAAAGAAAAAAAGAACTCAGAAACATGAGATTTATGGTTCTTATGCCTTTTGGTCATGCATTCCTCATCTTATTCTTTGGGTTACTTTTGTGGTGTAGCATCCTTGTGTCATTTTACTTATTATTTTTATCCTATCAGTTCTCAGCAGTTCCATTTTCTACTCATCTGAATACACCAAGAGCTATAGTCTCTGCTACAACATCTGAGCAAAAGGAAACACCTGCTGGAGATTCGAACTTGAATGTGCTTCAACCTACTATGAACCAGCAAAACAGAAGCTCCTCAGATGGTCCTGTTGCTATACTTTGGGATATTGAAAACTGCCCTGTCCCAAGTGATGGTTGCCCAAAGATGTAGCTGGGAATATATGACAAGGCTAGGTTGGTTGACATGTTTATATCTGCTCTTTACAACCCTCATCTCCACTTACTTGATCAGTGTGGGTATTCAGGCATCTTGTTATTCCTACTGGCAAGGGTGTTTTTTCTGCCCTGTGCAATGCCAGTTTGTCTGGGACAGGCTAGTGTGGCTCGTGGTCTTGGGGAAGGCTTTTTTCCACCCTCAAAAGCTTTAATGCATACTTGTTGACGACCAACTGAACTTGCTGGATATATCATGGGGTGCCATGTCAAAGACACTATAGATGGTCAAGATGAGGAAGAATCAACATTTAATAGTGGTATTTCACAAAGCTATTACCACTCAAGGAATTTCTCACTTTATTTCACAATCTTTAACTGAGCATACAATTTGAGTGGACCTACCTTCCCTGCAATTTTCAGGGTACACAATCTCCCATCTGGGTTAAATGAAACATCAGGATGTCCTGTCTCTTTTGATTAAAATGATACTATGTGGGTACAGCCTGGAGACTTAAATGGTTTGAAAGGACAGCGAAGTAGACATCAGGAACCTATCTGCATTTCACCCATGTTCCTGCAGAGTACCAGAAAACGTTTTGAAAGCCACGTTATTGTCTACTTAGAGAATGTAGAATTAAAGTTCCTTCAACTTTTCAAGCAGATGGGTGTCCATTGGGTGATACTTTGGGAACTGGGGAACTGAAAGAAAGGCGAAAGAAATTTGTCGTCCTACGGAACTGGAAAGCAGGGCCAAGTGTGTCTTCTATAAATCTAACAAGGATAAGAAATGAATAAGTACTCGAGGAAAGCATGGATTTTACCACTGATGGACGCTTGTCCGATGAGTGTAGTACGGTGATTGCAGAAAGGAAATTGTTTTCCAAAATTATTTTTAGGCTTTGGTTGGTTGGAGAATGCAAGTTCACCTTACCATAATATGATGAGTAGGTCTGAGCATATTTATTTCTGGAATGAGCTGGAAAGTGAAGGGTTTAATTCCATAACTATTATAAAGGAATCACTTTTGAGTTCATATATGGTCAAGGAAAATTCTAGTATTTAAAACAAATCTTGTATCTGTGATATTTCAATCTGTACAGCAGGCTTACTTCCTCCTTGAAGGAGTAACAATGAAGAATCCAGATCACATAAAATGTCAATGCTTATCTGCCAGCCCCTACAAGCAGGAGCCAACAAGGAAGCTAAGAGGAGAGTATAACAAGTTGACACACTTATCCTCAATTTTTTTTGGTCATCCTTATCCTCCAAATTGGCACCTTGGATCTTCTCACATCTATGATTTTGTACACAAGTCTATGGTTACACTTGGTTCTCATTGGCTATCTTCTCTACTCATCCTTTTTAGGGGTTCATCGGTAATACACATTTTACTTTTTTGGTCAAAACAGTATTTGTTAAGTTACATCTTTCTTGATTTGCTTCCTCATCAAAGAACTATGTTTTTCATTAAGTAGACCAATCTTGTCGACGAAGTTTTGGTGGTTTAGTAATGAGAAGGTTAAGTCATTTGAAAATGATATTTTGCGGTCTAATTTTTAATTGTTAGTTATGGATATATATATATATATATAGTGTTTATTCGTTTTATTTTTTAAAAATTAAGAGAAATATTATTTTAAAATTGTTATTTTAATAAACATTTATTGAAAAAGATTAAAACATTTTATTTTTAAAGTATGAATTATGATTTTTTTATTATTTTTTATAATATTTTATTAAAATGATGTAATTTTAAAATTATTTTTTTATTAATTTTTTTAGAGGTAAAACGAAAAAATACTAACCTTATATATATATATGAAGATTGATTTGTATAATTATCATGAATAAAATATTAAATTTAATGGTTAATTTTTTAAAATATTTTATTTTAAGATGTGCTTTTAAAAATTAGAATTAATATGTGTTATTCTTATCAAAATAATATAATTATAATATTACATGTCATTGCAAACTTTTATATTGTTTGTATAATGAAAGATAATCCTATTTCATCTTTTACCTCACTTCACCTGTATACTACATGATTTAAATTTAAGACATCTTACTTTTAAATGAAGGAAATTATCACTAAATTATTTAAGTTTGTTAGCTATCATTGTAAACTTATAATATGATATATAATTATATAATTAGTTCTTTTTATCAAGAAGTTCTTTTGTGATATTGTACGTATTCACTCATTTTATGATATGTTACATTTATTTAATATTACTTCATGATTGTAAACTTACAATTTTAAACAGTATTATAACTATAACATTACCTTATATAAAAAAATGATACAGTTACAATTTCACATGTTATTATAAATTTATAATATTATATGTCTTTTCACTTAGAGATCCATATTTGATATTTGTATAACAATTTTTTTAGAAGAAA